GCACCCCCTGTGTCCTCATGAACGGTCCAGCAACAGTTACTTAGCAGCGCACCCCTGTATCCTCATCAACGGTACAGCAACAGTTATTTAGCAGCGCACCCGCTGTATCCTCATAAACGGTCCAGCAACAGTTACTTAGCACCGCACCCCCTGTTCCTCATAAACGGTCCAGCAACAGTTAGTTAGCACATCCCTTGTATCCTCATAAACGGTCCAGCAACAGTTACTTAGCAGCGCACCCCCTGTTCCTCATAAACGGTCCAGCAACAGTTGGTTAGGAGCACATCCCCTGTATCCTCATAAACGGTCCAGCAACAGTTACTTAGCAGCGCACCCCTTGTATCCTCATAAACGGTCCAGCAACAGTTACTTAGCAGCGCACCCCCTGTATCCTCATAAACGGTCCAGCAACAGTTAGTTAGGAGCACATCCCTTGTATCCTCATAAACGGTCCAGCAACAGTTACTTAGCAACGCACCCCCTGTATCCTCATAAACGGTCCAGCAACAGTTACTTCGCACCGCACCCCCTGTATCCTCATAAACGGTCCAGCAACAGTTAGGAGCACATCCCTTGTATCCTCATAAACGGTCCAGCAACAGTTACTTAGCAACGCACACCCTGTATCCTCACAAACGGTCCAGCAACAGTTACTTAGCAGCGCACCCCCTGTTCCTCATAAACGGTCCAGCAACAGTTGGTTAGGAGCACATCCCCTGTATCCTCATAAACGGTACAGCAACAGTTACTTAGAAGCGATCCCCTGTATCCTTATAAACGGTCCAGCAACAGTTACTTAGCAGCGCACCCCCTGTTCCTCATAAACGGTCCAGCAACAGTTGGTTAGGAGCACATCCCCTGTATCCTCATAAACGGTACAGCAACAGTTACTTAGAAGCGATCCCCTGTATCCTTATAAACGGTCCAGCAACAGTTACTTAGCAGCTCACCCCCTGTATCCTCATAAACGGTCCAGCAACAGTTAGTTAGGAGCACATCCCTTGTATCCTCATAAACGGTCCAGCAACATTTACTTAGCAACGCACCCCTTGTATCCTCATGAACGGTCCAGCAACAGTTACTTAGCAGCGCATCCCTGTATCCTCATAAACGGTCCAGCAACAGTTACTTAGCAACGCACCCCTGTATCCTCATCAACGGTACAGCAACAATTATTTAGCAGCGCACCCGCTGTATCCTCATAAACGGTCCAGCAACAGTTACTTAGCAGCGCACCCCCTGTATCCTCATAAACGGTCTAGCAACAGTTAGTTAGGAGCACATCCCTTGTATCCTCATAAACGGTCCAACAACAGTTACTTAGCAACGCACCCCCTGTATCCTCATAAACGGTCCAGCAACATTTACTTAGCAGCGCACCCCTCTATCCTCATAAACGGTCCAGCAACAGTTACTTAGCAGCGCACCCGCTGTATCCTCATAAACGTTCCCGAAACAGTTAGTTAGGAGCACATCCCTTGTATCCTCATAAACGGTCCAGCAACAGTTACTTAGCAACGCACCCCTTGTATCCTCATGAACGGTCCAGCAACAGTTACTTAGCAGCGCATCCCTGTATCCTCATAAACGGTCAAGCAACAGTTACTTAGCAGCTCACCCCTGTATCCTCATAAACGGTCCAGCAACAGTTACTTAGCAACGCACCCCCTGTATCCTCATGAACGGTCCAGCAACATTTACTTAGCAGCGCACCCCTGTATCCTCATCAACGGTACAGCAACAGTTACTTAGCAGCGCACCCGCTGTATCCTCATAAACGGTCCAGCAACAGTTACTTAGCAGCTCACCCCCTGTATCCTCATAAACGGTCCAGCAACAGTTACTTAGCAACGCACCCCCTGTATCCTCATGAACGGTCCAGCAACAGTTACTTAGCAGCGCACCCCTGTATCCTCATCAACGGTACAGCAACAGTTATTTAGCAGCGCACCCGCTGTATCCTCATAAACGGTCCAGGAACAGTTACTTAGCAGCGCACCCCTGTTCCTCATAAACGGTCCAGCAACAGTTAGTTAGCACATCCCTTGTATCCTCATAAACGGTCCAGCAACAGTTACTTAGCAGCGCACCCCCTGTTCCTCATAAACGGTCCAGCAACAGTTAGGAGCACATCCCCTGTATCCTCTTAAACGGTCCAGCAACAGTTACTTAGCAGCGCGCCCCTGTATCCTCATAAACGGTCCAGCAACAGTTACTTAGCAGCGCACCCCCTGTATCCTCATAAACGGTCCAGCAACAGTTACTTAGCAGCGCACCCGCTGTATCCTCATAAACGGTCCAGCAACAGTTACTTAGCAGCGCACCCGCTGTATCCTCATAAACGGTCCAGCAACAGTTACTTAGCAGCGCACCCCCTGTATCCTCATAAATGGTCCAGCAACAGTTACTTAGCAGCGCACCCCCTGTATCCTCATAAACTGTCCAGCAACAGTTACTTAGTAGCGCACCCGCTGTATCCTCATAAACGGTCCAGCTCAAATAATTACAATTGTTAAGCAACCAAAATTCAAGACTTTTGGAGAATTGTAAGAAAAATATGTCGCTGATTTACAACAGCATTTGATGAGTAAAGGATTGAGTCAATTAGGCTGCAATAAGCCGAAGAACCAACTCTGCGGCATTACTGAAAACTGCTCCGTTCCTCATCTAATCTAGTTGATAAATTTCATAGCAATTTAAGAGAATAAGGAACATCTGTTTTTTTTCTATCCAATGAAATGGTAAATCAGGCTTCTTGTTAAATCCTCCAGGTCTTGTTATGTTATTAAAAGATTTCCTATTATATATTTAGATTTGTTAATATTTATTTATGATATTTTCATTATTTCTGAAATTCATATTAATCTGTGTTATTCTCATCCATTCATAACAAAAAAATTAATTAAGCAGTATATTTATAAGCATCGAATTCATTTTATCTCATAATTTCGTCCTTACGATGGCCATCTTTGATACCCCTTAACTAAATTTCATTCATAGGCTGGCCATCTTTGATACCCCTTAAATTTGATTCTTGGGATGGCCATCTTTGACACCCTACAAATTTCATTCTTGGCAATGCCCTCTCTGACACCCTACAAATTTCATTCTTGGCAATGCCCTCTTTGACACCCTACAAATTTCGTTCTTGGGATGGCCATCTCTGACACCCCATTAATTTCGTTCTTTGGGTGGCCATTTTTGACACCCCACTGAATTACTCAAAAAGACGTTTAATTATCTTTTAACAGAAAATGCCTGTAGTGTTAATTTTTTAAAAGTCTTCTGCTAATATGCTCTGTACCACTTACATTCTCCACTTGACACTATGTAATATACCACTTATAATCTCCACCTGTCACTATATACTGTATCTCTTACAATCTCCTGGCACTATGCACAGTACCTCTTACAATCTCCTCCTGGCAATATGCACTGTACCTCTTACAATCTCCTCCTGGCACTATGCACAGTACCTCTTACAATCTCCTCCTAGCACTATGCACAGTACCTCTTACAATCTCCTCCTGGCACTATGCACTGTACCTCTTACAATCTCCTCCTGGCACTATGCACTGTACCTCTTACAATCTCCGCTTGTCACTATGTACTGTACCACATACATTCGATTCCATTTTTCTATAAAAAATGTCTAGTGTTTTACATAATTCGTGTCAAATGATCATGATAGCAATATTTCTAGTGCTGAATATGCAGCCAAATAATACTAATGTACCACATCCTTGAAGCCTTTTTATCCACTTCTCAGAGGCTATGGATCCCACAATTTTCACCAGAGGTGGACCCCACGTACCACTTGTAAATTTATAACTATGAGTTTAAGGGAAGAAAAATATAGAGTGGCATATGACTTGAAAATAAATTCACAAAAAAATTGTGAAGGCTGGTTTATTTACTGGGATGAGCGGAATCAAGTCTGCAAATTTGAGAGAGAGTTGTTGAAAGAGTAGCTTGTTTGTCCCAGTGAATACACGAGTAGTTACTGCTTCATAAACCAAGCAACGACACACTAAAACCTCTTGGTACTGGAACGTCTGTAAGTCAATCACTATCAAATAAGAAGAACACTCAGGCTAAACACAAGATGCAATATGGTTGACCCCTCACGTTCGAAATGCTCACTGGTCACTGTGCTCATAGACAGGACAGGTGTTGGTTGAAGGAATGAGTTAGTCGAGAACCTCTATATTGAAAAAATCCGAATTCCAATAAACAAATTGAGTATTATGGTTTTTATTGTTTTTAGTGTCAGTTTGATAAACTGAGTTTTCGTGTAACTGTACATCCGAAATAATTACCAAAGACAGTGTTACAAGCGCAATAACATCTTGTTTTGCAGTGTGAGGGTCGTAGTAGTCGTATAATGTAAACAGTGAAGTGCTTCCTCACCGTTCATTATATCTACTTTTCCAAGACAATGCCCATCTGATAAGATGGTTTAATTAGTTTTTTTTCATTATAGACAAGTATTTTCTGTAGTGCATGACATAGCTATGCAGTAAGTGCTTTCACAATTTATTTGATTAATTAATATTTATTACAATAATAGCCTTGCTAAGAGAGATGATTTTTCAATTATTCCTAATAGGTATTATAATTTTCGAATTAAATTTTTTGCTCGCAATACTCAAAAAAGATACCGAAGATATGTATATCTATAAAAAAAATTGTGGGTATTTATAAAATATTTGGTGTTTTCATATGATATTTTGTTATTTAATCTCCAGATTATGTGAGGTTAGGTAAGATTTGTCAGGAAACAGGGTAAGTGTTTACTGACACAGGTGTTAGTCAGATGATCCGCAGCTGGAGCTTTTGTTCATGTGAAAGAGGCCTTCCCCTGGCTTACCCGTCCACCCCTATAAATTATAAGCTATAATTATAACCACTCTCCAGATTAATGTTTTGTTATCATTGCTTGATTTTTCATAACGTTAAATACAAGTCATCTTAGAAGCCAGTGCTTTAACACTTTCCAGATGGTATCTGCGGGTAGCCGGGTGTCACTTAGCTGCCGGGTACAAGGCTCGCCTGTATCCGAGGTGCGATGGTACAAGGACGGCGCTATCATTCACCCACACACCCACGCTCACATGCTCCTCCAGGGACGCGACACACTGACCATCACTGGAGTTGGTGAGAGGGATGCTGGCATGTATCAGTGTGTAGCTGCCAACAGTCTAGGAGAGGTGCAAGCCAGCACTCAGCTCACTATCAGAGGTGAGCAAGATTATAGACATGATTCTCGTCTGGGCTATGGCATCAACTAATACTTTTAAGTAGGTGTCCCGTAGTTCGATCGGTAGCGCACTCTGCTCATACACTGAGGTCCGGGGTTCGAATCTCCTCCGGTACGGCTGGAAAACATTAGGGGCGTGTTTCCATAAAGCACCTGCTGTCCCTGTCCCTGTTCACCCATTAGTTTAAAATGGGTACCTGGGTGTTAGTCGACAGGTGTGGGTCGCATCCTGTGATGAAACTGACCTAATTTGCCATATATACTACTCAGAATAACCAGGGGCTTTCTATATAGTAGTATGTCATTGATGTCAGCTAGGACTGTATACCTTGTACATGTATACTTGTAGCAAATAAAATTATTATTATTATTATTATTATTGTTAAGGTTAAGGAACCCCTTTCATAATAAATTAGAAATCTCAAATACATGGAGAATCGTAAAGATAGTTTGACAGTTTATTTGAGAATATATTGTGTTCCTCGAGAAAGATATTGTTTATTTTCATAATGGATTCTTTCGTGTTGATATATATTTTTGAAAGTAGATTAGGCTTTCTGGAAAAAAAGTAAAATTTTTATTACAGATTACAATTGTTGAATAAATACGATAGCGTATTGTGGCCAATGAGTCTTTAAGATAAATATAAACGCTGAGGTAAATTAGAAAATTCTGGGATGCCAGAATTTATCGGAAAAATTATGTAGAAGATTGGTATCATTGAATTTAGATGACAGTCCAGTGATCTTTAGGTTAATCTCCAAGTGCGAAAGTTTTCTCTATATTACAAATGACCATATAGTTAAAAAAAGCTACCTAGATATGTATGACAGAGAGCCCCTAAATTCCTGACTAGTCATGCACTAGCCATCTCGAGACTAGTGCGTGAAACGTTTTTTATATCCATTATGGATGAAAAACGTTTTGAGTGAACCTTTTAGGGGTCGACTGACATATTTTGGGAGCTTAAAATTCTCTAGGTTATAATCCTAATTTGTTGTGGCTTAAGAGTCTTCTCTACGAACAACTTTTTGGTGATAAACATTGGTTCCTCATTTAATACAAGTAATAAATAATATACAACTACTCATTTTTTATAAAAAAAAATTTGTGTGCTTGGTATTAAATCCTTCGATATTCAGTAATGTTCATTTCTTAGCATTAATTCAGTCACTTTGGTCTAACACTGAGAAACATTCATTTGAAAAATTTTGTCTTTTATTTAAGAGGAAATATCTACATAGCAGGAATTAAGCTGTGACAGTATCAGCTATGTTTTTTGATTGCTTGCTAAATGGATCTCACGTTTTCTTCCCCCACCTACGCTCACGACTACGCTTACACACTAATATGCCCACATCCACAACGGCTACACCCTTGGTTACACATCTGCGTACCTCACTTCTTATACAACTTTCCTGCTGCTAACACTACTAAAAACCTTCCTGCATCTTAACACTCTACAACACAGATTCTCCACCAACTCTGCGACACACTTTCATAGAGCAGACACTGCAGCCAGGACCGCCCATGTCACTGAAATGCACCGCTCTAGGCCATCCGACGCCCATTATCACTTGGACACTAGACACACACCCACTCGAGCCCTCCGGCGGACACTACGGTGGGCAGAGAGTTGCCGTGGGCTCGTGGGTGGATGTCAGTGATCAGGTGGTGAGTCAAGTGAATATCAGCAGTGTGGATCATCTGGACGGAGGCACCTATACTTGTACAGCTATCAATACGGCAGGAAAGGTGCACCACTCAGCCAGACTCAACATCTATGGTACGTGAACTCAGTGTCTTACATATGAAAGACATTGACGTATCATAAAAAGCTTGTAAATACCTAAGACAGGGTAAAATTTGTACCATAAAAGCGGGCATTAGTCTATAGTTTATAAACTTGGTATATTATATTATTATTTGCAAATGGATGATGATATGGTTTGGTTAATGTACAGTATATTAAGATTGGTTAGGTTTGCTATGAATGATATTTTAGAATAATTTCGATTTGCCATTTCTATATTTTTTCTTGCTCCCACTTCCTCTTCACCTACTTCATTACACCCTCTGGCAACAACGCTAGTCTGATATGACTCATAACAAATTACATTCTATCAAACCAAGTTTCTGGTCTTCTTGTCATCGATACCGAGGTTGGGAGACTACACTCACTCGTCTTCACATTGGACACACTCGTCTAACTCATGGGTATCTCATGGAGAGACATCCTGTTCCACTTTGTGAGAACTGTCTAGTTCCAGTTTCAATTTACCATATTCTATTGGACTGTCCTATCAACTATCACGCAGAATTTTCCTTCGACGTCGTCACCGCTCTAACACGCTGTATCTTCCCTCCTTGCTGATGGTCCCTTGACACAGACTCTTTCTTCGACTTTTTGACAGCAATTGATTACACAAACTTTGATAATCCTTCCTTTAGCACTCCTTGCAGCCCTTCCTAACTTTACCTTTATTGTCCTCTCCATCCTTACTTATCCTTATATCCTGCATCAGTTCCTACCCTGCAGCGCTGTATGACCCTATTAGATTTAGCACTTCTCTTTGATTATAATAATTCAAACACCCTCTTGCATAAATCCTTCCCGTTAATCATCTTTCATACTATGTTTATTCCCTTTCATTAGGGGAGTACAAATATATAATTATCATGTTGTGGATTGCACTTAACAAATCTTCCAACTAATATTCTAAAATCTCCCCTGTCTTTGTTATATAATCTCTTCCTGTTCCTCTTCTTAAGTTGTATTACTATATACCTATCTGCTCTTTATCGTCTTTCTCTTACTCTGTATAATTCGCTGATGCATTCTCCAAAGCCAATGATCATATAATTTTCATGCCTGCACACAGGTCCGCCCACGACACGCACCCCGAGGAACATAAGTGCAGTGGAATTGTCTGAGGCAACTCTGATGTGCCCAGTGGCAGGATACCCACTGACTACTGTGTCGTGGACGCTTCACGGCCGACCCCTCACCTCCACATCACGGAGGACACCCCGAGGAGACGGCACGCTGATCATCCAGAGTGTGGAGGCTCAGCATGACGTGGGTCACTACACCTGCACAGCATCTGATGCTCAGGGTCGCTCAGCAACGGCAACATTTTTCCTCTCGGTAGTCAGTAAGTTGCTATCATTGCCCTGTACTTTCATAAAAGTTCTGTGTATATGTGGTGTACTTTGCACAAACTCGAAATGGATAATCAGAAGGGATTATGTTATGGTGGTTAAGAGTATATCATAACTTGGTAGTGTAGTTGTAGAAGAGGTCGTAAGAGTGAATCGAGTCAATGTTCGGAAAGAAAACAAGATGTCCAGAGAGTGTAGTAGAATTTCAATTGAAAGGCGTAAATGGAATTATGTGGGGTGTATTTCAAATTATATGTATGAAGAATATATATATATTATATATAAATTATATATATATATATATATATATATATATATATATATATATATATATATATATATATAAACACTGATCTCTGGCTGAAGGAGACTCGAACCTACGAACCTTAGGACAAGGTACGCAGTGCTTTACCAATCTACACTGGACCAATACCTTGGCGTGTAGCAGAGCTACACGTTTGATCCAAGGCAGCCAGCTTTCAGGGAGAAGGCTTACAGCTTTTCATCTCATCCCCTGCATGCATCAGCCTTACTAGAGATTTGAACAATGCAAGGAATTCGCGAGAGCATGCGAAATATACACAAACACTGATCTCTGGCTGAAGGAGACTCGAACCTACGAACCTTAGGACAAGGTACGCAGTGCTTTACCAATCTACCACACTGGACCAATACCTTGGCGTGTAGCAGAGCTACACGTTTGATCCAAGGCAGCCAGCTTTCAGGGAGAAGGCTTACAGCTTTTCATCTCATCCCCTGCATGCATCAGCCTTACTAGAGATTTGAACAATGCAAGGAATTCGCGAGAGCATGCGAAATATACACAAACACTGATCTCTGGCTGAAGGAGACTCGAACCTACGAACCTTAGGACAAGGTACGCACTGCGTACCTTGTCCTAAGGTTCGTAGGTTCGAGTCTCCTTCAGCCAGAGATCAGTGTTTGTGTATATTTCGCATGCTCTCGCGAATTCCTTGCATATATATATATATATATATATATATTATATATATATATATATATATATATAATATATATATATATATATATATATATATTATATATATATATATAATATATATATATATATATATGCAAAACAACCACTCTGAAAGAATAGAGAAATTCCAAGCGCTTTCGTGACTACTCACTTTATCAAGGAACTATGAAAGTAAAGCATCCAAGGAAGCTATATAAGGGGTCTGGCCAGCACCTCACTATCAGATCCCACAACGGTTAAACACCTGACTCGCGCCGACCCAACTTATATATAAATATATATATATATATATATATATATATATATATATATATATATATATATATATATATATATATATATATATATATATATATATATATATATATATATATGTATATACACACATTTAGGGTTTTTCTTCTTTTTCATAATACCTCTTGTTCTCGTTTTTTTCTCTATTGCCCATGGGGAAGTGGAAAAGAATCTTTCCTCCGTAAACCATGCGTGTTGTATGAGGCGACTAAACGGCCAGGAGCAATGGACTAGTAACCCCTTCTCCTGTACACATTTACTAAAAATGAGAAAAAAATTATAAAACTCGGATGCTTGAATGTCCGTGCATGTAGTGCGGATAACAGATGATTGCTGATGTTATGAATTAAAAGAAGTTTAATGTCCTGGCCCTAAGTGAAACATAGCTCAACGGGGTAGGGGAGTTTCAGTGGGGAGAAATAAATGGGATTAAGTCAGGAGTATCTAAGAGAGATAGAGCTAAGGAAGGGGTAGCAATAATGTTGAAGGACCAGTTATGGAAGGAGAAGAGGGAATATAAATGAGTAAATTCAAGGATTATGTGGATTAAAATAAGGGTCGGATGTGAAAAGTGGGTCATAATAAGCGTGTATGCACCTGGAGAAGAGACGAGTGTAGAGGAGAGAGAGAGAGATTTTGGGAGATGTTAAGCGAATGTATTGGAACCTTTGAACCAAGTGAGAGAGTAATTGTGGTTAACCTAAATGCTAAAGTAGGAAAAACATTTAGAGTGTGGTAGGTAAGTTTGGGGTGCCAGGTGTAAATGATAATGGGAGCCTTTTGATTGAACTTTGTATAGAAAGGGGTTTAGTTATAAGTAATACGTATTTTAAGAAAAAGAGGATAAATAAGATATGATGTAAGGCGTAATGACAGTAGTTTGTTGGATTATGTACTGGTAGATAAAAGATTGTTGAGTAGACTTCAGGATGTACATGTTTATAGATCACTTTTTCGTTGTAGCTACAGTGAGAGTAAAAGGTAGACTGGATACAAGGAAAATAGAAACAGCAAGGAAGAGAGCTGTGAAGCTGTACAAACTAAAAGAGGAGGCAGTTTGGGAAAGATATAAACAACTATTGGAGGAAATGGGCTAGTGAGAGCATAGGCAATGGGGTCCAAGATGTATGGGGTAGGTTTAAGAAAGTAGTGTTAGAGTGTTCAGCAGAGGTTTGTGGTTACAGGAAAGTGGGTGCGGGAGGGAAGAAGAGCGATTGCTGGAATGATGAATTAAAGATATTAGCAAGGGAGAAAAAGTTAGCATATGAGAGGTTTTTGCAAAGTAGAAGTGATGCAAGGAGGGAAGAGTATATGGAGAGAAAAGGAGAGGTTAAGAGAGTGGTGAAGCAATGTAAAAAGAGAGCAATTGAGAGAGTGGGTGAGATGTTATCAACAAATTTTGTTGAAAATAAGATAAATAAGTTGAGGAAGCCTAGGGAACAAAGGGATTTGACAGTTAAACAAAGGAGAGGAGAATTATTAAATGGAGAGTTAGAGGTATCGACAAGATGGAGGGAATATTTTTAAGAATTGTTAAATGTTGATGAAGATAGGTAAGCTGTGATTTCGTGTATAGGGCAAGGAGGAATAACATCTTGTAGGAGTGAGGAGGAGCCAGTTGTGAGTGTGGGGGAAGTTCGTATGGCAGTGGGTAGAATGAAAGGCAATAAGGCAGCTGAGATTGATGGGATAAAGATGGAAATGATAAAGCAGGTGGGGATATAGTTTTGGAGTGGTTGGTGCTGTTACTTAAAAAAATGTATGGAAGGGGTAAGGCACCTAGGGATTGGCAGAGAACATGCATAGTTCCTTTGTATAAAGGCAAAAGGGATAACAGAAAGTGCTAAAATTATAGGGGAATAAGTCTGTTGAGTATACCTGGTAAAGTGTATGGTTGAGTTATTATTGAAATAATTAAGAATAAGACGGAGTGTAGGATAGCAAATGAACAAGGAGGATTTAGGAAAGGTAAGGGGTGTGCAGACCAAGTGTTTACAGTGAAACATAGGTGAACAGTATTTAGATAAGGGAAAAGAGGTTTTTGTGGCATTTACGGATTTGGAAAAGACATATGACAGGGTGGATAGGGGGCAATGTGGCAGATGTTGCAGGTGTATGGTATAGGAGGTAGGTTACTGAATTCAGTGAAGAGTTTTTACGAGGATAGTGAGGCCTAGGCTTGAGTATGTAGGAGAGAGGGAGATTATTTCCCAGTAAAAGTATTCCTTAGACAAGGATGTGTGATGTCACCGTGGTTGTTCAATATATTTATAGATGGGGTTGTAAGAGAAGTGAATGCTACGGTCTTGGCAAGAGGCGTGGAGTTTAAAGATAAAGAATCTAACACAATGTGAACGTTGTCACAGTTGCTCTTTGCTGATGACACTGCGCTTTTGGGAGATTCTGAAGGGAAGTTGCAGAGGTTGGTGAATGAATTTGGTAGGGTATGTAAAAGAAGAAAATTAAAAGGGAATATAGGAAGGAGTAAGGTTATGAGGATAAAAGGATTAGGTGACGAAATATTGGATATCAAATCGGAGGGAGTATGGAGGAGGTGAATGTATTCAGATATTTAGGAGTGGACGTATCTGCAGATGGGTGAATGAAGGATGAGGTGAATCATAGAATTGATGAGGGGAAAAGGTGAGTGGTGCACTTAGGAGTCTGTGGAGACAAAGAACTTTGTCCTTGGAGGCAAAGAGGGGAATGTATGAGGGTATAGCTGTACCAACATACCAACACTCTTGTGTGGGTGTGAAGCATGGGTGATGAATGTTGCAACGAGGAGAAGGCTGGAGGCAGTGGAGATGTCATGTCTGAGGGCAATGTGTGGTGTGAATATAATGCAGAAAATTCGTGGTTTGGAAATTAGGAGAAGGTGTGTGATTACCAAAACTGATATCCAGAGGGCTGAGGAGGGGTTGTTGAGGTGGTTCGAACATGTAGAGAGAATGGAGCGAAAAAGAATGACTTCGAGAGTCTTATAAATCTGCAGTGGAGGGAAGGCGGGGTAGAGGTCTTCCTAGGAAGGGTTGGAGGGAGGGGGTAAAGGTGGTTTGTAAGAGGGGCTTGGACTTCCAGCAAGGCAAGCGTGCGTGAGCGTATTTGACAGGAGTGAATGGAGACAAATGGTTTTTAATACTTGACGCACTGTTGGAGTGTGAGCAAAGAAATATTTATGAAGGGGTTCAGGGAAACCGGCAGGCCGGACTTGAGTCCTGGAGATGGGAAGTACAGTGCCTGCACTCTGAAGGAGGGGTGTTAATGTTGCAGTTTAAAAACTGTAGTGTAAAGCACCCTTCTGGCAAGACAGTGATGGAGTGAATGATGGTGAAAGTTTTTCTTTTTCTTGCCACCCTTCGCCGATGTGTAAATAATATATATATATATATATATATATATATATATATATATATATATATATATATATATATATATTATATATATATATATATATATATTTATATATATTATAATATATATATATATATATATATATATATATATATATATATATATATATATATATATATATTATATATATATATATATATATATATATATATATATATATATGATAAATAGGACACATATGGAACACTTGAGTATCTTTATTGAGGAAACGTTTCGCCACACAGTCCATCAGTCTTTATGATTGATGGATTGATTACATCGACTCAAGGCTTAGGGACTGATTAC